CTGTTTTGTAGCGTTTCCTTGAGCGGTGATGGCACGATCATCAGCATAGATGAAGCTCTCTGTCCCTTCTGGCAGTGGCTGGTCATTTGTGTAGATGTTGAACATGGATGGAGCAAGCACGCTCCCCTGAGGCAGGCCGTTCTTCTGTTTCCGCCATCTGCTTCTCTGGCCCTGGAACTCAACAAAAAAGCTCCTGTTTTGTAGCAGGTTTCCTATGAGGCGGGTGAGGTGGTCGTCCTTTGTGATATTATATATATGATATATGATTAGGGATCAGCTGGTTTTCCCTGTAATAGGCAGTAAGAGCACCTAGAGCTTCGGAGAGCTTCTGTTCAACCATCTCAAAGCTCCCTGCTTGAGCGGTGATGGCACGATCATCAGCATAGATGAAGTTCTCTGTCCCTTCTGGCAATGGCTGGTCATTTGTGTAGATGTTGAACATGGGATTGCCTAAGTAAGTAAGTAAGTTAAGCAGGGAAGATTAAAGGCCTTGTCAAACTACAACTCTCAACGTCACATGTGAGTTTTAAAGAGCACTAGCACTTTTATGATATACTGCCAAAGTACTTTTCCCATAAAGAGAAGCGAATGCCATAAAAGAACCAGGTGGGAAAAGCTTTGTTTGTTGTCTCAGCCGCTCACCAAGGAAACAATCCTTCCAATCTTGTTTAAATTGTTTGCAGACTTTTTTTGCCACTTGCAGAAATGGACTTTCCTTGTGTCACCGCTTGCACTGCAATGTACGCTTCTTGTACGTCGTAATGGATCTCCTAAGTGGAGATTAGGGACATTTTGAACAATGCTATCCCGTAATGCTTTTTGGGGGGAAAAAACCTAGAAGGTTCACAATGTTCTTTGGTAGTTTATGCACAGCTTATCAGACCTAGTTGTTTCATTTTCCAAAATGCATAGGATAGTTTGATTTTAAACTGGAACAGGTTGAGCTGCCCCATTGTATGGCATTCTTCCATTAGATGCATCTACACTTTAGAACCACGTTTCTCAACCTGGGGGTCCCAAAGGGGGGTGTCATAGGGGTCACCAAAGACAATCAGAAAGCACAGTATTTTCTGTTGGTTATGGGAATTCCGTGTGCCAAGTTTGCCCCAATTCTGTCGTTGGTGGGGTTCAGAACACTCTTTGATTGTAGGTGAACTATAAATCCCAGTAACTACAACTCCCAAATGTCAAGGTCTTTCCCCCCAAACTCCATGTGTGTTCACATTTGGGCATATTGAGTATTCGTGCAGAGTTTGGTCCAGATCCATCATTGTTTGAGTCCACAGTGCTCTCTGGACGGAGGTGAACTAACTACAACTCCCAAATGTCAAGATTCTATTTACCCCAAACTCCACCAGTGTTCACATTTGGGAATATGAAATATTCTTGTAGAGTTTGGTCCAGATCCATCATTTTTTGAGTCCACAGTTATCCTTGGATGTAGATGAACTACAACTCCAAAACCAAAGGACAGTGCCCACCAAACCCTTCCAGTATTTTCTGTTGGTCATGGGAGAACTGAAGTAAAAGAAGCATGGAAGCTGGGGTTCTATTTGCGAATAATATGGGATGATTGCGGGCGCAGATGATGGGGCATAGGAGTCGCAGCGGGGGTGGGGTAGTCCACAGGGGCACTCTGTATGTGGGTGAACATGATAAATCGCGCGAGGTAACCTAGGTGATATCGAGTTGCCGTACCACACTCCAAATGTCGAAGCGCTTAGGTGATCGTCATAACTCCATCTTTGTTTCCTATTTGAAGCTGATTGAGGTATCCCCATCGGTTAGGCAGGGGACTGAGGAGGGCGTGAGCGACGAAGGGGGGAGGAAGAGGATAGAGGAGGGGGAGGGGGGGAGAAGTAACTGTCGAGCAGTACGCAGAAAGATGAAGGGAGTCGATGCCCACAGCGGAGAAAGAGAGAGTGGGGCGAGGGGGGGCATATTGAGTATTCGTGCCAAGTTTGGTCCAGATCCATCATTGTTTGAGTCCACAGTGCTCTCTGGATGTGGGTGAACTATAAATCCCAGTAACCACAACTCCCAAATGTCACGATCTATTTACCCCAAACTCCATCTGTGTTTCTATTTGGGCATATGGAGTATTCGTGCCAAGTTTGGTCCAGATCCATCATTGTTTGAGTCCACAGTGCTCTCTGGATGTGGTTGAACTATAATTCCCAAACTCAAGGCCAATGTCCACCAAACCTTTCCAGTTTTTTCTGTTTTAGGTGAACTATACATCCCAGTAACTACAACTCGCATATGTCAAGGTCTATTTTCCCCCCAAGAGTGCCTCAAGAGTGCCCCTGGGTGAAATCAACTATACTGCGACTGCTTACTTTGCGTAATGGTTGAGCCGCCCCTGTGTGTGTGTGTTTATATTTGTATATACACACATTTGTGTATATGCGTGTATATATATATGTGGGTGTATATATATGTGGGTGTATATATTTGTGTATTTGTGTTTATATGTGTACATGCATATTGTGTATATGTGTGTGCTTGTCTATATGCATATTTGTGTGTGTATATATATATGTGTGTGTATGTGGATATGTATATGTGTGTGCATGTATATGTGCATGTGTATATGTATATATATGTGTGTGTATATTTGAGTGTGTTTGTGCATATATATACATCTATCTATCTATCTATCATCTATCTATCTATCTACGTGTATGTATATGAATGTGTGCATGTGCATATGTATACGAGTGTATGTATATATGTATATATGGTGTATTTTGAGTGGTTTTAAGTCTGTTCCGCAGGGGTTTTGTGTGTGTGCGTGTGTGTGTTTATGGGTGATGGACACTCGTTGGACTGTCCAAATTTCGTGTCAATTCGTCCAATGGTTTTTGAGTTCTGTTAATCCCACAAACGAACATTACCTTTTTATTTATATTGACTAGCTGTCCCCTGAGGCCATAAAGAAGACTCCAGCAAAAGCATTCCAGCGGGGAAGCATGCGGGGAATGCGGAAGTGCTTCATCAGCGTCGCAGATGGACGATGACAGCGACAGCTCCCCTGGTGGCCAGAAAAAGTTAAATAGCCTCTGTGTATGTCTGTATATGTTTGTATGTCAAAATTGGCATTTATGAGGTCATAAAGAAGACTCCAGCAAAAGCATTCCAGCGGGGAAGCATGCGGGGAATGCGGAAGTGCTTCATCAGCGTCGCAGATGGACGATGACAGCGACAGCTCCCCTGGTGGCCAGAAAAAGTTAAATAGCCTCTGTGTATGTCTGTATATGTTTGTATGTCAAATTGGCATTGAATGATTTATGAGGTCATAAAGAAGACTCCAGCAAAGCATTCCAGCGGGGAAGCATGCGGGGAATGCGGAAGTGCTTCATCAGTGTCGCAGATGGACGATGAAAGCGACAGCTCCCCTGGTGGCCAGAAAAAATTAGGTACCACCTTAAAGTGTGGGGAGGCTAAATTAACTCATTTATGAGGCCATAAAGAAGACTCCAGCAAAGCATTCCAGCGGGGAAGCATGCGGGGAATGCGGAAGTACTTCATCAGTGTCGCAGATGGACGATGAAAGCGACAGCTCCCCTGGCGGCCAGAAAAAGTTAAATAGCCTCTGTGTATGTCTGTATATGTTGTATGTCAAAATTGGCATTGAATGTTTACCATATATGTGTACACTGTAATCCGCCCTGAGTCCCCTGCGGGGTGAGAAGGGCGGAATATCAAAGCTGTAAATAAATAAATAAACGACTCTTGGAGGGATCGTTCGCTTGCCCAAACCACAATAGACACACAGATATGTCTATATTTTGAAAAATAATTTATTTATTTTTAAAATAATGCAATTTATTAAAATAGAAAAGGGAGTCAACACACACACAATAAATAATAAATAACTTATGTCTGTTGGCAATGGAAATCTATTCCTAACATGGTCAAACTTCTGCTCTCTAGGTGTTTTGGATTCCAACTCCCACAATTCCTAACAGTTGAAAGTCCAAAACACCTGGAAGGAGGGCCGCAGTTGGCCCATGCTTTTGCCCTCTTGGAAATGGGCACGTAAGTCAATCAAGGGATCATCTGCATATCCACGTTGTGGGAGGTGAGGTCCAAAACACCTGGAGGGAGGGCCGCAGTTGGCCCATGCCCTCTTGGAACTGGGCACATAAGTCAATCAAGGGATCATCTGCATATTCACGTTGTGGGAGTTGAAGTCCAAAACACCTGGAAGGAGGGCCGCAGTTGGACCACGCCTTTGTCCTCTTGGAACTGGGCACGTAAGTCAATCAAGGGATCATCTGCATATCCACGTTGTGGAAGGTGAAGTCCAAAACACCTGGAAAGAGGGCCGCAGTTGGCCCATGCCTTTGTCCTCTTGGAACTGGGCATGTAAGTCAATCAAGGGATCATCTACATAAAGTCCAAAACACCTGGAAGGAGGGCCGCAGTTGGCCCATGCCTTTACCCTCTTGGAACTGGGCACGTGAGTCAATCAAGAGATCATCTGCATACCCAAGTTGTGGGAGTTGAAGTCCAAAACACGTGGAAGGAGGGCCGCAGTTGGCCCATGCCTTTGCCCTCTTGGAAATGGGCACGTAAGTCGATCAAGAGATCATCTGCATACCCACGTTGTGGGACTTGAAGTCCAAAACACCTGGAAGGAGGGCCACAGTTGGCCCATGCCCTCTTGGAAATGGGCACGTAAGTCGATCAAGAGATCATCTGCATACCCACATTGTGGGTGGTGAAGTCCAAAACACCTGGAAGGAGGGCCGCTGTTGGACCACGCCTTTGCCCTCTTGGAAATGGGCACGTGAGTCAATCAAGGGATCATCTGCATACCCACGTTGTGGGAGGTGAAGTCCAAAACACTTGGAAGGAGGGCTGCAGTTGGCCCATGACTTTGTCCTCTTGGAACTGGGCACGTAAGTCAATCAAGGGATCATCTGCATACCAACGTTGTGGGAGTTGAAGTCCAAAACACCAGGAGGGAGGGCCCAAGTTGGCCCATGCCTTTGCCCTCTTGGAAATGGGCACGTAAGTCAACCAAGGGATCATCTACATAAAGTCCAAAACACCTGGAAGCAGGGCCGCAGTTGGCCCATGCCTTTGTCCTCTTGGAACTGGGCACGTAAGTCAATCAAGAGATCATCTGCATACCCACGTTGTGGGAGGTCAAGTCCAAAACATCTGGAGGGTGGGCTGAAGATAGCCCAGGCCTGTCTAGTTGCAATGAATACAAAATTGGCCCATTTTCATGTGGCAAGGAGGAGGTGAAGAGCCACGCGGCTCTCAGCCAAGACCACGTCCCTCTTCACACCGCTGCCTTTGTTGACGGCCTTTATCCGCAGCGCAAAGTCGTAGAGATCGTCTTCGGCCAGGCCGACGAAGAAGAAGTCCTCCTTGAAGATGGGGTTGCGGCTGCGCTTGATGCCAGTGCTGCGCTGTTTCTGCATCTTGCCCGGCAACAAGGCAAACGAGACACAACAGTGGATGCCTTTCGGGTCGGCGGTGGGCGGGTAGAGACCCTCGGCGCTGATGAGCCGGACGCGGAGGCGGCGGTTGTGGGGACAGTACTCCGAAGACAGTCGGATGATGGCCGCCGGGCCTACGGCGATCACACTCTCGCGGCTCAGCCTCTCTAATTCTATAGGGAAAACGGGGAGTGCGGAGAGGCTGTACGAACGAGGAGACGGCTCGCACAGGCTCTCCGAAGAGCGCCGTGTTGCGTTGGGGCTGCTGTCAGTAGAGCTGCCGCTTTCATCCGCAGACAAAGACCCGGCCCGTCCAATTCGGACACCGTTGCTTTTCGATTTCAGCAATCCGTCATGGCTGAATGCTTTGAAGAGCGATCCACATCGTTGTCCCAAACGTGGGGAACTAAATGGGGACGAGTCGGTGGACGAAACGGTCGTATCGCTGTCCCAAACGCATTGACGCTGCCGTTGAAGCGACTGGACGGTGATAGGTCGGGTTGTCTCTCGCCCGTGGATTGGAACGGTCAGTTCTCGTCCGCTAAAACTACCAGACCGCAACCCGGATGTCTGTATGGGAACGGTCAGTTCTCGTCCGCTATAAGTACGAGACCGTGACCCGGTTGTCTGGATAGGAACGGTGAGTTCTTGAAGCGACCGGACAGTGATAGGTCCAGTTGCCTGGATGGGAACGGTCAGTTCTCGTCCGCTATAACTACCAGACCGTGACCCAATTGTCTGCAGTTCCCGGCCGCTATAACTACTAGACCGCGATCGTGGCAAGCTCAAGCCACAAGCAAAAGGTCCTTCGCTATGGAAGATGGACTCCTTCCGCCTCGTGTGAGGACTCTCCAACAAAGTGCAAAAGCCGTAAGAAGTCTGTGCCTTTTGGAAATGGGGCAACGACAAGGCCGCTTGCGAGCGAGGGTCCGAATTGGTGCCGTCCTCCTCCTCCTCTTCGTCGACGCTTTCCACCTGGATCAAGTGTGGCAGGAATTGCTCCTTGGTTTGCAGACCCATCTCGGTGATGCATCGGTGCGGCAAGAAACCCGAACCGGGGTTCTTCGACGGTGGAGAAACGGACGTCAGCCTCGGAGGGATGCAGAACTCCGGAATGCGGTCCGGGGTCAGGATGTTGGCGAAAGGGGCGGCATTGCCGGACGGAGAAGTGGACAGCGAGGCGGAGGCAGCGTCCTCCGAAGAGGAGCGGACTTTGTCCAGCAGCCACATGGCAGCAGACCTGCAAAGGAGGAGAAACAACAGCGTTGTAAAAAGGTCGTCCGTGAAAAAGTCACAGCAGGGCTAACAGGGCAGCAGATTACAGGAGATGTCTTCATAGACCTGTCAGCATCCTTTGACCCCGTAAATCATCACATTCTTCTATAACAAAGGACGACCACCTCACCCGCCTCATAGGAAACCTGGTACAAAACAGGAGCTTTTTTGTTGAGTTCCAGGGCCAGAGAAGCAGATGGCGGAAACAGAAGAACAGCCTGCCTCAGGGGAGCGTGCTTGCCCCATCCATGTTCAACATCTACACACATGACCAGCCACTGCCAGAAGGGACAGAGAGCTTCATCTATGCTGATGATCATGCCATTACCGCTCAAATAGGGAGCTTTGAGATGGTAGAACAGAAGCTCTCCAAAGCTCTAGATGCCCTTACTGCCTATTACAGTGAAAACCAGCTGATCCTTAACCCAGTTAAAACACAGACATGTGCTTTTCATCTCAAGAACAGACAAGCATCCCGAGCTCTGAGGATTATTACCTGGGAAGGAATCCCACTGGAGCATTGCAGCGCACCCAAATACCTGGGAGTCACTCTGGACCGTGCTCTGACCTACAAGAAGCACTGCCTGAACATCATGCAAAAGGTGGGTGCTAGAAACAATATCATATGAAAGCTGACTGGCACAACCTGGGGATCACAACCAGATACAGTGAAGAAATCTGCCCTTGCACTGTGCTACTCTGCTGCTGAGTATGCATGCCCAGTGTGGAACACATCTCACCACGCTAAAACAGTGGATGTGGCTCTTAATGAGACATGCCGCATTATCACAGGGTGTCTGCGCCCTACACCACTGGAGAAATTACACTGCTTAGCCGGTATCGCACCACCTGACATCCGCCGGGAAGTTGATGCCAATAGTGAAAGGACCAAGGCAGAGACATCTCCAGCTCATCCTCTGTTTGGGTCTCAGCCAGCACGTCAACGACTTAAATCTAGACATAGTTTTCTAAGATCTACAGAGACACTCGCTGGAACACCTCAGCAAGCGAGAGTCCAAAAATGGCAGGCTCAAACCCAGAACTGATACCAAATGAGAGACTCCTCCCCGGGCACATAGAAGACGGGGCGACTTGAAAGCGCTGAACAGACTGCGCTCGGGCACCACGAGATGCAGAGCCAACCTCAAGAAACGGGGCCACAAAGTGGAATCTACGACATGCGAGTGGGGAGAAGAGCCAACCACAGACCACCTGCTGCAATGCACCCTGAGCCCTGCCACATGCACAAGGGAGGACCTCCTTGCGGCCACACCAGAGGCACTCCAAGTGGCCAGATACTGCTCAAAGGACATTTAATCAACTACCAAACTTGCAAATTTTGTGTTTTGTCTGTTTGTTTGTTTTGTTCTGTTAGAAATGTAATACAATTGACTGGTTGCCCTGACACGACAAATAAATAAATAAATAATATTATAATGATAACATATTATTAGTAGTAGTATTATATTGTATTACATTATATTATAAATATTATTTGCATATATATTATATTATAAATATTATGTGTATACATTATATTTTAATGATAACATTATATTATTATTAGTAGTAGTATATTGCATTACATTACATTATAAATATTATGTGCATATATATTATATTATAAATATTATATGTATACATTATATTATAATGATAACATTATATTAGTAGTAGTATTATTATATTGCATTACATTATATTGTAAATATGATGTGCATATATATTATATTATAAATATTATATGTATACATTATATTATATTGATAACCTTATATTATTAGTAGTATTATATTGTATTACATTATATTATAATGATAACATATTATTAGTAGCATTATATTGCATTACATTATATTATAAATACTATATGCATATATATTATATTATAAATATGATATGTATACATTATATAATGATGACATGATATTATTATTAGTATTATATTGCATTACATTATATTATAAATATTATTTGCATATATATTATATTATAAATATTATGTGTATACATTATATTATAATGATAACATTATATTATTAGTAGTATTATATTGCATCACATTATATTATAAAATATTATTTGCATATATATTATATTATAAATATTATATGTATACATTATATTATAATGATAACATTATATTATTATTAGTAGTATTATATTGCATTCCATTATAATTATAAATATTATTTGCATATATATTATATTATAAATATTATGTGTATACATTATATTATAATGATAACATTATATTATTAGTAGTATTATATTGCATTACATTATATTATAAATATTATTTGCATATATATTATATTATAAATATTATGTGTATACATTATATTTTAATGATAACATTATATTATTATTAGTAGTAGTATATTGCATTACATTATATTGTAAATATTATTTGGCATATATATTATGTTATAAATATTATATGTATACATTATATTATAATGATAACATTATATTATTAGTAGTAGTATTATATTGCATTACATTATATTATAACGATAACATTATATTATTAGTAGTATTATATTGTATTACATTATAATATTATAAATATTATTTGCATATATATTATATTATAAATATTATATGTATACATTATATTATAATGATAACATGATATTATTATTAGTAGTATTATATTGCATTACATTATATTATAATGATAACATGATATTATTAGTAGTAGTATTATATTGCATTACATTATATTGTAAAAATGATGTGCATATATATTATATTATAAATATATTATATATTATATTATAAATATTATATGTATAATTATATTATAATGATAATATTATATTATTAGTAGTACTATAATATTGTATTATAATATTGTATTATAATATTGTATTATAATATTGTATTATAATATTGAAATAATATTATAAATATTATTTGCATATATATTATATTATAAATATTATATGTATACATTATATTATAATGATAAGATATTATTATTAGTCGTATTATATTGCATTACATGTTTCTTTCCACATTTTGCTTCTGTTTCCTTTGCATATCTTTTTCCCTTTTCTATCTGCTGCTTTCCTGCATCCTTCTTTTCCATTCTTTCTTTCCTCCCATCTTCTATGCAACTCTCTTTCCTTCCCATCTCTCTATCTTTTCTCCTTTTTTCTCTCTTTCTCCCTACATCCCTCGTTTCTTTTCCTTCCTTCCATTCTGCAACAAGTACAATATTTATTGCATTGGGGAAAAAAACTTCAAAAAGTCATAATTTTATGCAAATAATCCCTTTCATTTTGGAAAAAAATTAAAAATAATTAAAAATAAGCCCAAATCCAAGCAATTAAAGCAATTAAGACATTTTTTCCCCTGCTAAATAAGTGACAGGTATGCCTACCTTGCAAAAGCAGTGTTATTCTCCGGGATAAGACAGCAATTCAGCAGCAACTTTGCTTTCCAGATTGACCTCTCAAAGCTGGATTTTCCCTTCCTGGAGGCTCAAGTGAGAGCAGGCTCTTATTTATGGTCCCAGGGAGGCGCGCCGGAGCCAATCAGAAGGCGAGGAGCGAGCGTGCTTGGCCGGGGAGGCCTCTGATTGGCTGAGGCGCCTCCCACTCCCTGGCGCCTGCTTGGCTGATGCTGCAGCCTGCTTTATTTTATTTATTTATTTATTTTGCAAGAAGTTCCTTTGATTTTATTTTATTTTATTTATTTCTCGAATTGTAATTCCCAGTTTTGGCGGGTTTAAAGTCGGAGAAGGTGAATAGGACTGCAATGCCCATGCTCCACTGTTGGACTAAGCATTCTAGATGCAGAAAATATATAATATATAAATTTATATAAATAAAAATGTAATGTTTGTTTGTGGAATTAACACAACTCAAAAACCACTGGACGAATTGACACCAAATTTGGACACAAGACACCTCTCAGGCCAATAAGTGACCATCACTCATAAAAACAGTGAAAAACACAGCAGAAACCCCCAAAATGCATTACAACATATGTGCAAAACGACATATAAACACAAACACACATATACATATATATATACATATATATACACACACAATACGACATATATACACAAACACAGATATATACACATATACACAAATATATACACACACATATACTCATTTTTACACACACAAAACACATATTTATTTATTTATTTATTTACTAGCTTTGCCCTGCCACGCGTTGCTGTGGCCTATAGTAAAACTTATCAAAGTTGAGGTAGATATCTGGACTATTATGAAAGGGAGGTCCCTACCTATTCCTTCCCCCTTTTCCTCCCCCTTTCTCTCCTTTCTTCCTTCTCTACCTCTTTCTTTCTTTCCTTCTTTCACTACTTGGTTTCATCCTTCTCTCTTTCCTTCATTCCCTCCCCCTTTCTTCCTTTGCCTTTCTTCCCTCCCTGTTTGCTTCCTTCTTTCACTTTTTATTTCCTTTTATTTCACCACCATCATAACAATAACAATAATGCAATGCATTGCCTCTGGGACCTGACACCTCTCCCATTCCCCCTAAAAGGGTCTCAGAGGAACAATAGCATAATAATAATAGAAATAACAACCTTTACCCGCCACGTGTTGCTGTGGCCAACCTTCCCTCTTTCTCTCCTTCTTTCCCTCCTTCCTTCCTTCCTTCCCTCCCTCCCTCCCATCTTTCCTTCTCCTCTTCCTTCTCTATCTCTTTCCTTCCTTCCCCCTTTTTCTTTCTTTTCTGCTGTCTCTCTTTCTTTCCTTCCATCTTTCCTTTTCTTTCCTTTTCTTCTTCCTTCTTTCTCTAACTTTCCTTCCTTCCCCCCTTTTTCTTTACCTCCCTTTCTCTTTCTTCCTTCTTTCCTTCCTTCCTGTCTTTCCTAGATTTTGACAGGGCGGGAAGGGGCGGGGTGGGGTTTGGAGGTGGCGTGAAGTAAAAGGAGGTAAGATTGGGGGGGGGAGTGATGGAGCGTGGGGTTGCGTGTGTGTGTGCGGCGGCGGGGGGAGTGATGGAGCATGGGGTTGCGTGTGTGTGTGCGGCAGCAGGGGGAGTGAGGTTGCGCGTGTGTGTGGCGGCGGGGGGAGTGATGGAGCGTGGGGTTGCGTGTGTGTGTGCGGCGGCGGGGGGAGGGGGGGTGCGTGTGTGTGTGCGGCGGCGGGGGGAGTGATGGAGCGTGGGGTTGCGTGTGTGTGTGCGGCGGCGGGGGGAGTGGGGTTGCGTGTGTGTGTGCGGCGGCAGGGGAGTGATGGAGCGTGGGTTGCGTGTGTGCGTGCGGCGGCGGGGGGGAGTGATGGAGCGTGGGGTTGCGTGTGTGTGTGCGGCGGCGGGGGGGGGGGCGTGTGTGCGTGCGGCAGCGGGGGAAGTGATGGAGTGTGGGGTTGCGTGTGTGTGTGCGGCGGCGGGGGGAGTGGGGTTGCGTGTGTGTGTGCGGCGGCGGGGGGAGTGATGGAGTGTGGGGTTGTGTGTGTATGTGCGGCAGGGGTGTGTGTGTGTGCGGGAAGCGGCGCGGCGGGGCTTGGAGTGGGCATGGTTTCCGCAGAGGGAACGTTGGCCGGAAGGGCATGTGCGCGCGCCAGGGAACTTGCGGCTGGGCGCCAATGCGCATGCTCAGTTGTTTTGCCGTTTTGTGAGTGTGTTGTTGTGTTGTTTTTCATTTAGAGTAGATATGTTTGTACCTTGTGGGTTGTGTTATGGGCATGGGAATTTTGGTTAAGTTTCGTTGGGGTTTTTTGAGTTTTGTTTTTTTGCCTTTTGAGTGTGTTGTTGTGTTGTTTTTCATTTTGAGTAGATATGTTTGTACCTTGTGGGTTGTGTTATGAGCATGGGAATTTTGGTTAAGTTTCGTTGGTTTTTTTGAGTTTTATTCTTTTGCCGTTTTGTGAGTGTGTTGTTGTGTTGTTTTTCATTTTGAGTAGATATGTTTGTACCTTGTGGGTTGTGTTATGGGCATGGGAATTTTGGTTAAGTTTCTTTGGGGGATTTTTGAGTTTTGTTGTTTTGCCGTTTTGTGAGTGTGTTGTTGTGTTGTTTTTCATTTTGAGTAGATATGTTTGTACCTTGTGGGTTGTGTTATGGGCATGGGAATTTTGGTTAAGTTTCGTTGGGGTTTTGAGTTTTGTTGTTTTGCCGTTTTGTGAGTGTGTTGTTGTGTTGTTTTTCATTTTGAGTAGATATGTTTGTACCTTGTGGGTTGTGTTATGGGCATGGGAATTTTGGTTAAGTTCCGTTGGGGGGTTTTGAGTTTTGTTGTTTTGCCGTTTTGTGAGTGTGTTGTGTGTTGTTTTTCATTTTGAGTAGATATGTTTATATAGATATAAATTTATATAAATAAAAATGTAATGTTTGTTTGTGGAATTAACACAACTCAAAAACCACTGGACGAAGTGACACCAAATTTGGACACAAGACACCTCTCAGGCCAATAAGTGACCATCACTCATAAAAACAGTGAAAAACACAGCAGAAACCCCCAAAATGCATTACAACATATGTGCAAAACCACATATAAACACAAACACACATATACATATTTGTATACATATATGTATACAAATTTGTATACATATTTGTATACATATATATACACACACAATACGACATATATACACAAACACAGATATATACACATATACACAAATATATACACACACATATACTCATTTTTACACACACAAAACACATATTTATTTATTTATTTATTTATTTCCAGCACTTATACCCCGCCCTTCTCACCCCCCAGGGGGGACTCAGGGCGGCTTACACAACGAGGCACCATTCCGCGCCCATACAATTACAGTTATACAAAATGACAATCATAATTAAAACAATTAAAACAGTTATCATAGATAAAACCACAATGCAATTAACAATCAATAACACAACATATAGAACAATTCACGTGTTCAGCATTCGTCTTTCCGAGCTCCAGATCTCATTCCATTATACCTTTCCTAGATAGTGACAATTCTTTACCTGCTCGTATGACCAAACGCTTGGTCCCACATCCATGTTTTGAGTTTTCTCCTAAAGGAGAGGAGTGAGGTCGCTGTTCTGATTTCCCCGGGAAGCGAGTTCCACAGGCAGGGGGCCGCCACTGAGAAGGCCCTGCTCCTCGTCCCCGGCAACCTCACTTGTGACACTGGCGGGGTCGAGAGCAGGGCCCTCCCGGCCCATCTTAAACTCTGGGGTGGGACGTAAAGGGAGATCCGTTCGGACAGATACACTGGGCCAAAGCCGTATAGGGTTTTGTAGGTCAAAACCAGCACTTTGAATTGTGCTCGGAATTGGATCGGCAGCCAGTGGAGCTGACACAACGGGGGGGTGTGTGCTCCCTGTATGACGCTCTGGTGAGCAGTCTGGCTGCCTCCCGCTGGACTAGTTGGAGTTTCCGAACAGTCTTCAAAGGCAACCCCACGTAGAGTGCGTTGCAGTAATCTAATCGGGATGTAACAACAGCGTGGACCACTGTGGCCAGATCCGACTTCCCGAGGTACGGGCGCAGCTGGCGCACAAGTTTTAATTGTGCAAAAGCTCTCCCTGCCACCGCCGAGACCTGGGCTTCCAGGCTCAGCAATGAGTCCAGGGTCACTCCCAAGCTGCGAACCTGCGTCTTCAGGGGGAGTGGAACCCCGTCTAACACAGGCTGTAACCCTATGCCCTGGTCAGCCTTACGATTGACCAGGAGGACCTCTGTCTTGTCTGGATTCAGTTTCATGGTCAGATGGAATCTTTTCTCTTGTAGTTTGAAGCCATTGTTCCCTTGCGTCCTAGTCTCCAAGGAAGCAGAAAACAGGCTTGCTCCCTCCTCCTCCCTGTGGCTTCCTCTCACATATTTATACATGGCTCTCATCATATCTCCTCTCAGCCTTCTCTTCTTCAGGCTAAACATGCCCAGCTCCTTAAGCCGCTCCTCATAGGGCTTGTTCTCCAGACCCTTGATCATTTGAGTCGCCCTCCTCTGGACACATTCCAGTTTAGAGTCAATATCTCTCTTGAATTGCGGTGCCCAGAATTGGACACAATATTCCAGGTAAAGTGGTCTAACCAAAACGGAATAGAGCGTGGGGAGCATGACTTCCCTAGATCTAGACACTAGGCTCCTCTTGATGCAGGCCAACATCCCATTGGCTTTTTTTGCCGCCGCATCACATTGTTGGCTTATGTTTAACTTGTTGTCCACGAGGACTCCCAAGATCTTTTTCACAACATACCCTTTCTCTGTAGAAAAGGAGCAACAGGGAAGAAAATGTTTTTAAGAAACAAGAATGGGTCTGGAGAACAAGCCCTATGGGGAGCGGTTTAAGGAGCTGGGCATGTTTAGCCTGAAGAAGAGAAGGCTGAGAGGAGATATGATCAGCGCCATGTATAAATATGTGAGAGGAAGCCACAGGGAGGAGGGAGCAGATCAGAGGTCTGAAGAACAAGCCCTATGAGGAGCGGCTTAAGGAGCTGGGCATGTTTAGCCTGAAGAAGAGAAGGCTGAGAGGAGA